CAGCAAGCGGCCAGGCAGGCGGCCAAGGCCGCCAAGCGGCAGCGCCAGAAGGAACGGCAGCGCCAGCGGGCTGCTGTGTCGGCAGGAGAGGCGGATGAGACTGCCACAGGCCAGGCTGCGGTGGCGGAGCCAGCTTCTGAGCAGGCAGAGGATGCATCAATGGCAGCTGCAGGCACGCCGGCAGCAGTAGGTTTCGAGCCGGCAGAGCAGCTCACCCCCGCCGCCTGCCCAGCTACGCCCGCCACGCCTGCTGCTGCTACTGGCAGCCAGCAGGGCAGCGGCAAGAAGAAGAACAAGGGAGGAGCACAGACGGCGGCAGCTGAGCCAGGTTCGAAGGCAGCAGGTGGAAGCGCTGGTGCCACCCCCACCAGGGGAGCGGAAAGGGCACCAGCAGGAGAGTCAGCGTCAGCGGCTGGAGGCAGCAGCGGTGCCGACGACGGTGCTGAGCTGGCGCAGCTGCTGCAGCAGCTGGGGGTACAGGCAGCAGGGGAGAGCCCCTCTTCCGCTGCCGTCAACGATCCACTGCCAGCCACGAGCGTGGCGGCAGCAGAACAGGCACCAGCGCCAGCCTGCCGCTGGCAAACCTTCCAACCTGTCGCTGGCAAACCTGGTGCTGCTCTCAAACTTCACCGTGCGCAGCCTGGTGCTGGTGCTGCAGGCGGCGGGGCTGCTGGAGTGAACCGGCAGCTCTTCCCGTTCACCGTTGCTTGCTTGCTAGTTTCAACACACAATGGCTGATTGCAAAGGGAACGCATTGTCCCACCATGCCAGCCAGCTTCGCCTCCCAAGCGTTCCACTGCGGCCAGGCAAGAGGATCGGGCTGCCAGCGAGGGCAACAGCGCTGCTGCCATGCCCCTTGCGCACGGCAAGCTCCAAGCAACAGCGATGCAAGCCTTTTGCGCAGAGCTCCCTTCCCTCTTTGCCGCTCTCATCTCCCCCATCTCCATGGCCGCTCTGATGCCGCAAGCCAGCCCCGCAGCCCAACGTCAGCCGTGGAGCAGAGCAGCGGCGCTGCGCACAGGCCAGCCAGCCACCAGGCCAAGCCGTGCACAGGACTGCTCCCTCGTACACCACCCCTGGCTGCCCTGTCCTTTGCGCGGGCTGCCCCCCTTGCACCGCCTGCCCGGGAAGGGGAGGCGGCACGCTGCTGCCAACACACACCCCTCCACTGGCTGCCTGCCCTTCTCCCTCAAGCAAGTGCATTGATTCCCGGTGAGCGGTGGTGGTGTTGAATAACACCAGTTTTGTTTTTATGTGTGGGTTTGGGGGGTTGCGGGCGGCGCCTGCGCTTAGGCGGAGGTGAACTTGGTCACGGCCTTGGTGCCCTCAGACACGGCGTGCTTGGCCAGCTCGCCGGGCAGCACCAGGCGCACGGCGGTCTGGATCTCGCGGGAGGTCAGGGTGGGCTTCTTGTTGACGCGGGACAGCTGGGCGGCGGCGGTGGCAATCTTCTCAAACTGGTCGGCGATGAAGGAGTTGAGGATGGCCATGGACTTGGAGGAGATGCCGGTGTCGGGGTGCACCTGCTTGAGCACCTTGAAGATGTAGAGCTTGTAGCTCTCAGTGCCCTTCTTCGTCTTCTTGCCCTTCTTGCCCTCCTTGGGGGCCTTGGCGGCCTTCTTGGCCGGGGCGGGCTTCTTGGCGGCGGGGGCCATGGTGCTGGGTTGGTTGTTGGGGGTGAGAAACAGGAGAGTGTGGGTGGATGGGAGGGCATGCAGGCGGCCTGATGTAGTTTGCACCAGGAGGCCCCTCCAACCCGGGGGCCGACGCATGGCGACAGGCACCTGGCGCAGGGGAGTGGGCCCCGGGTGGGTGGCGCCTGCACACAGTTCCCAACCTCCCCGCATACAAAAGCGGGCCCTGCCGCCGCCCAGCCACCCACTCCCCCTCCTCCCCTCACCCCCCGACACCCCACAACCCAACCACCATGTCTGGCCGCGGCAAGGGCAAGACCTCCGGCAAGAAGGCCGTGAGCAAGAGCTCCAAGGCCGGCCTGCAGTTCCCCGTGGGCCGCATCGCCCGCTACCTGAAGAAGGGGCGGTACGCCGAGCGCATCGGTGCCGGCGCCCCCGTGTACCTGGCCGCCGTGCTGGAGTACCTGGCGGCCGAGGTGCTGGAGCTGGCCGGCAACGCCGCCCGCGACAACAAGAAGACCCGCATCATCCCCCGCCACATCCAGCTGGCTGTGCGCAACGACGAGGAGCTGAGCAAGCTGCTGGCGGGCGTGACCATCGCCGAGGGTGGCGTGCTGCCCAACATCCACTCCGTGCTGCTGCCCAAGAAGAGCGGCAAGAAGGCGGAGGCCTGAAGCGCCTGAGCTGCTCTATCTCACCTTCAACAAAACAATCAAACCAAACTGGTGTTATTCAACACCACCTCGCTCGGAAACCGCTCGCTGCCCTGCCGTGTGCTGCTTTGTGTTGGTGAAGCGGTGCTGCCTTGGCGGGTGGTCGGTGCTTGGGGGCACACCGAGCCAGCCAGGGTAGGTGGAGGGCAGGCAGGCCAGGAGGGACATCAAGAGAAGGCAGACCAGCCAACACCAGTGATGAGCCATGCCCGACCCACCGCCTGCTTGGCCCCTGCCCGCCTGACTGTGCCCTGCTGGCTGCCCCTCTGGCCTTGCTGCTGCCCTCGTGTGTGTGCCTGTGCGGGCAGGCCTGCCTTGCTCGCTGCCGGGCTCGGGGAGGGGAAGAGGCACACCCACCCAGCACTGCCACACAGCTGTCCACCCAAGAGGCAGGCGCCAGGCATGCAGCGGCAGGCTCACCTCAAGGGAGGCAGGCAAAGGGGCAGCAGCAGCCAGCCCCCCACACCCACCAGCCCCAACCCCCTCCTTCCCGACATCACAACACGCAAGACTCTTTCCGTGTGGGTGGGTGGTGTTGAATAACACCAGTTTGTTGTTTGTTTGGGTTGCTTGTGAGGCTTGGGACCCAGGATCGCTTACGCGCCAAAGCCGTACAGGGTGCGGCCCTGGCGCTTGAGCGCGTACACCACGTCAAAGGCGGTGACGGTCTTGCGGCGGGCGTGCTCGGTGTAGGTCACCGCGTCGCGCACCACGTTCTCCAGGAACACCTTGAGCACGCCCCGGGTCTCCTCGTAGATCAGACCGCTGATGCGCTTGACGCCGCCACGGCGGGCCAGGCGGCGGATGGCGGGCTTGGTGATGCCC